AGTGTGTAAGATGTAGATTGAATACGATGTAAACTCATCGCCTATTTCTCTGATGTTAGCTCACTAATTGTGGAGAAGTCACTTTCAATTTCCTCACCTTTTTCATTCTCAGGGACCTCTCGAAGGGTTCGGAGCGATTTCCGGTCCAGGTGGTGAATGACGCAGACTCCGCAACGATGGCAGATTTTACCTACACAACTCGAATAGTCGATCGTAACGGAGTGTTAGCAGCGAGGCAGAGCACCGTAGTGGCGGTAACTGAACTCTATTTACTCCTTTGGTCCTATAAGTAATGCGTAGACCTATTCTCAATATGTTTTAGTACTGTTGCTGTGATGGTATGTGCTCAACCGGTTGTGAATGCAATAGTGGAATCTATGATAGATACGGTATGTGAACTTGGGTTTCTGGAATATTCCAGATTTTTTGATGATTGTGACGTTGCATAGCCAGGGAGATCCCCTCTTTTGAAATGACTTTTTTGTAGCATCTGTTGCGGTACTTTTTCAGGTGGAACTTCAGGAATTCGATGTCTTGATTTCAGGGTTTGTTGATGAGCTTTCACTGGAATGGCCGTTCGTGGAGTGTAGCGCGGCATGTACGTGCAGTCTACAGTGTGGAAATCGAGTTGCACAAAAAGGTGCTACGATTCCTATAGAGGTAAGGAGTGCTTTCATTATTGAAATACGAGATCTGGTCCAAAGAAGAACTCCACGAGGGCAGGGCAGGAGGACCTCATTGCGGCGGCTCGGCGTTGGAAGTGGCGTCTTCTTGAAACCTTGAAGTAGGGTACAGCATTCTGGTTGTGTGATAACACATGGAGGTTCGTAACTGGTCCGGCCTGGGGGGGGTCGTATATGTGGTCATTTTTTGGCGAGAGTGGGGAACGCATGTGCCTTTGAGAGAAATGTTTCCGTCGTCAGGGGGAATTGTCCACGTGGGTTGTTTACTTTTCAGTGTTCACCCGTTTCAGATGCGTGTATATATATACCCAAACCCCGCGTTGACGGAAAATTTTTGTGGCTGAAAAATAAACTAGATAATGTAGGAAAAGTGGTAGGTAGGATGGAAATGGGGGGGGGGGGTTGTAACGCTACTTCACATAATTCAAACTTCACGATGCTGTAACCCGACTTTTCAGTACTGAAAGCAGCTGATTTTGGCAAACCAATTCTGGCGGCCTGACCTCCGAATCTTTGCGCAGTTTTTGCCATTCAAACCCTATCTAAGGCAAAGAAGCAGTGGTATAAGAAAACGGGAGCAAATTCCCGGGTTCCCATGAGGGTAGCTGCTCCATAGGCAAGGTCGTGGTCCAATAAAGGCAGAACAGTTTACCTTTCAAACTGCTGTATTTCAAGGCATGGCGCTGAGGAAGGTTCCGAGCGCCGGAAAATGCACAAAAATCGAAAAAGAAGAAGAGGATTTGATAAACCAACCGATAATGCCAAAATACTATTTATTATTCGCGAGAAGCTGTTCTGCAACAAAAAAACGTTCAAGGCATCTCTTGGAAGTTTCGCCACTTACAAATGAGGGAAAGACAGACATGGAATAATCAGTTCGCGCAAAATCTTGCAGGTTTTTCGTACACGTGTGATGGGCGAGGTTTGGGAGCAGTGGGCGAGGTTGGGCAGTTCGAGCGCTTCGAAACATCCGACGTGGAGCTTTCATCGGCGAATATACGGGAGAGCTTCTGAGTGACGCTGAAACAGCACGACCTGAACGTACTGATACCTACTTTTTTGAAACCAGGGTGGTAAGTATTGCAGAACACGCTCCTGGATAAAGTCTTGTGTGGCGCTGTTCGGCTTGGCAGAGCGGGGAGGGGGATTGAGACCTTTCGCTGGTTGCTTTTGCTAGTGCATAATGATTAATAGGTCTCATTTCCGTGAGACTTGCAGACGCTGGTAAAACTGCGAAATGCTACAACTGAAGCACTTTGGTTACGTGAACTCACAGGCCTTCACAAGGTGCCATGTGAAACCTTCGCTGAGTACCAGTTGGTGCCCCCACCAAGCCGAACTGCGCCATTTGTGCTCTAACAAGCAGTATTGTAATCAGCTGTTCGTTCTTACCTTTCCAAGAATTGCTCGAAGACATAAGAGTAGCTTACCATTGGAGGCACATTCCGCGTTTACAGTAATGGCGGGGACTCATGAGCGCTGTGCCTTCCTCCTTGGTGCGTTTTTTCCCACTGGAAGGAAAGGCAAAACACTGAGGAAACATCACTGTTTGTATCTCTTGTACGAATGCCGCTGAAGCACCTCAAGGAGGTTTTATTTGGGATGCAACCGATAAGATGTTTTGACCTCTCTCACTCGCACCCATACCGTCCTTGCATCGCGTCATTGAGGAAGAGCTCGTCACTGAGTAAAGTACAATGCTTACAAGTCTCGGCCTAGTCGTAAAGCGCAAAATGTGTCTCTGAGTCAGCGTCCAGACTTCGCGATGACGCTCGTCAACGCGCTACCATTGCAGAAGAGCTATCATTGCAATAGTGCTGCAATGCTCTAGATGGGAACGCAGCCATAGACGGGTCAGCGCTGTCCATTTGTGGTTAGAGAGAGGGAGGATAGGAAGATATAGTCTACCTAATCACACAGTCTGGTATCGATCAGTGCTGGCTGCCAGTGTTTTGAGAGAGTATGAAAGAATAGAGGGTGTCAGGTTGTGTGATTAGGCAATGCGTACCCTCCTAGTTTCCTATATTGTGAAACCTTGCGCCCATTTGATAGATACCCGTCCTCCGTTGTCGTTTATAGCATTGAAGCGCTATTGCAATGGGCATCGCGTCGTGGCGCGACGACGCGCGTCATCGCCAAGTCTGAACGCTGCCTAATGTATTGCAATTGCAGATCGTTGTATAAAGTGCAGGTACCACTTCCTATCGCGTTTTATCCAAAGAAAAGAAAATTTTAGGGTGAAGAGTTGTACACGGTTGACGCACGTTTGTACGGGAATTTCACACGATTCATAAATCACAGCTGCCGACCGAATGCTACAGTAAGTGTTCTGACTTAGGGAATTTTTGATAGAAAAGCCAAAATAAGTTGTTCCAGGTAGGCATGGTTGTCTGGGAAGCACAACCGGAACAGCTCAGTCATATCTGCATATTTGCCACGGAAAATATTCAAAAAGGAATGGAAATTACAATATCGTACGGACAATCGTGGTGGGATGCCAAGGTGGGAAATCTTGTAGAATGACATTTTGTGAGGACAAAGACGTGCCTTGATTCCTGAAAAGCTATCTCGTGGGATCATTCCATTTCTGGGAAAAGTCAAGGTATTAGTTGAGGGGCTTGCCGGCTCCTTATTTCCGATCCCCTCTACTGATCGGTGCGCCGTGAGCCACACACAAGGGTCACGAAGGTTGGTGACTAACAAGCCCTACTGCCCGGAGGCAGTCCTACGTCCGACCTGGCCAGTATCGTAACGTAACTCTTTGTCACACTCTATTGACATCTTATCTTTACTAATGTAAGCGTACTTTTCCCCGCATTCCACTCTGTGTACATTTAAACATTGAAGTATTAATTAAATCGTTATGCATTTTTGTATTTTGACCAAGAATACAAAGGAGGACTAATCTATTTATGTCTCTGAAGTATATGAGATAGGATATAGGTGTTAGTAACTCAACGATAAACACTGGAATAACTGGAGGATAAGATAACACGTTAGAAACATAACTCACGTCGGGCCACCGCTCGTAGCCTGCTAGTTGACCAAGGAGAAATTTGAAGGATTCATAGAGGATATTCACAGTTCTAAGGGCCGAGGCCCCACGTGTCCGTCGCCGAATATGGAATAGTCGTAAGACAACCGCTTCGTAGCTAGACAGATGATGAACTAACCCGGGAGGCCGTGATGATGCCCTTTTATAGGCGCCGCACTTCGATCGTGCGTATCAGCCGAGTAGATATTGTTGGTCAGTGGTTTTTTTTTTGGGGCACGGTTACACGTGAAGCACGGCGGCGCAGCCCTGGAGGGATTCTCCCTCGGGAGCGGATCCTCGCGAATCCGCTACAGCCCCCGCCCCTCTATTTCTTGCCTGTGGCATCCAGTCAGTTTTATGCGCAATTATTGAAGGGCACTACACCTATTGTGAGTTAGCCACAAATTTTGCAACGCTCGTTTTTAAGTCTACGTCAATTCTCCTGTCGTGCGTCATTGCAAATTGTGAATACACGGAGGAGCGCCGTAAGCTGGAACTCTTGCGTTAAAAGCTCACAAGACACGATGCCGGCGAGAGCAGCACCAGATCGGTGTCTGCGGTTTCAAGCTCAAGCAGCGATGACAGCGATGAGATGCGCTCAGTTTGAAGCAGTCCTACTCAATGACGAAATGGCTTCTCATAGACCAGTGTTCTTGCCGACACCATCAGTCTTTGTGAGATCTTGAGGCACAGTCCACGCTGACCTTGTGGGCGGGGTCAGGCCTGCTGCAGTGTCTTACTCATCAAGTAAGTCTAGTAAGGAAGTGGGGGGAAAATGATAGGCTGGATGGATGGATGGGGATGGGGACGTTCCAGAGAAGCCAGTTTGAGGGAGGGAAGGGTCATGTTTCGCAGAAATTCCCCACAACACGTAATGGTGGGCTCTGAATGAACAGACTTCCCCCCCCCACCTTTCTTTAACCACACATGTCGTGCTAGTTTCGTGCAGCGAGATAGGTAACCAACCTCATTAGAGCGCCCTTCCCCTCTTCGTCGTCCCAGAAGGCAGCGTACCAATGACAAAGGCACATTGGTGACCGTCTCCGCCCATGTGAAAATCGCGGACTATATCTTGATTCTTGTGTTTACATTTTTGTAGATAGGATTCTCAGTAATACGTGGCCCATGATACTTCCGATAGGGTTTCCAGTCTAGATTTCAGGGCGGAAGCAGTATTTCATATTATAGCGATGATCCCTGCGAACGAAAGGGCGTGTGAGGGGTAATAGCCTCCCAGCCACCTGTTATTTGTAGATGACATCAATGAAAAAAAGCAGCTGCCTTGGTAGAGCTCCATGTTTATCGTTTGCAGGGATTATGACTGTAGACGTGTTTGACGTATTCCTCATTTCTCATTCCATCGTTGAAGAGATCTCTCTAAAGCTCAGCATTCGATAGCTCATATAGTTACACCATAAAGTCTTTTCTCCAATCATCACTGGCCCATATTTTTATTTTATAGCTCGTGAATGTATTGTATTGTCTCATTTTATTTACAAGAACGGGTTGTGATAACGATTGTTCAGTTTCTTCTTCGAATCTCAAATATCTATTAAATTTACATAATAAACCTTGTTCGATCATATACAAATGTCTAAGTAGTTCAGGAAAGCCCACTTGTGTTTTGGCTATGCTCGATCTATTTACAAGTATATTACAAACTTCACATTTCGGCGATGGGGAGGGCGGCTGTGTAGCAAGAGAATCGTCCGGTGCAGCTGGTGGGCGTGGCCTGCGACATCTTTGCGGCGAGAAGAAGAATCATGCGTTCGGCCGTTTGAATAGGGATTCTGAAGGGACGGTAAAGATTGATATCACCCAGGATCGAGTCTTGTGTTCAGTTAGGATTAAGTTTTTAGTTTTTTCTTTGTTTTTCCATAGAGTATGAAAAAGTTCATTAGAACATGAACTTCATTAGGGTCTTTAACATTTGCTCTGGTGTGTCATCTTTTACAGCAGCTCACAGGAAAACTTGACCATTCATCTATTAAATGTTGACGCTGACGACTGCGCGAATCATGTGAACCACATAAACTAGGGAGAACAACTGCCTTATCTGATTTCTTTTGTATTTGTTTATTTCCTGAAGTTGTGTCTATGGATCAACTGTGTGTTACTATCGAGAAAAACAACGTTAGATTTTCAATAATTGATGAAACTCTGTTGCGGATGTACGCTGTAGCAAACCATTTGCTCCAGTCGCAAAGCTATCGGCTAGCAAATGCACGTCTGTGAGCTGCTGCGTCATTCGCCGTGTCGCCGCCGGCGCTCGCCCCTGACGGTGCTGCGGGCTGCCCCGGACGATTCTGTTGCACGTCTCCCGGCGAGGGCGTGGCTGTGCACATCATTGGAACAGGCGTAGGAAGTTTCTCGCGGGATTCTAATTCGAGACAACTGTTAGGCTGCGTTTATACTTTGCGGCAGCGTAGCGTAGCGCTTCCAGCGTACGCCAGCGGCAGTGTCGGGGAAAGGATAGATATCGATCTAGCGTTCCCAGCGTCACCAGCGTACGCTAGCGTAACGCTAGCGCACGCTAGCGTAACGCCAGCGTAGCGAGGGCACGGGAAGCATAGCTATCCTTTCACCTTTCGCATGTTGGTGTAATGAATAAGTAGCAGCCGACTTCCGCCGGCGCTCCTCCTTCTGAGATACAGCACGGCTTCGCCGAGCGGGCGCGGTTCCGCCGCGCTTATCTTCTTCCACACATTTCAATGACAACCTAGTATCCGGCTTTTCTTTTATTTGAACAGATGGTCAACATATTTTGACCCATAGCATGTTCATACTATTTCACACCATATGCTGCTATTTTCAACACTATTACGGTGTATGAAATGGTGGTAAGGAGCGTTGATCAAGCGGACAGATGAGAGGAAAGCCGGGTATTAGTCGAGCATTTGATACGAATGTAGGTAGGCGCGATGGAGCCACTCCCCGCAAGACCGGGCCGTATCACAGAGGAGGCCTGGAGCATTCAGGAACCTTTGGGAGTTTTACAAACTGGCTCCCCCGCCGCTCTCGACTTTTTAAATTTGGCTCCACCCACCTCGGGCACGCTCCGCCCACAACGTATGCCTCGCGCTTCTCAACCAATGACCCTCGCTGATCTTAAACTACTTTTCCCGGTGTCTGGAGTGCTCTGGAACCGTTTTGCGAATTTTTCAAACTTGGCTCCACCCACCTCGGGCACGCTCCGCCCACAACGGGAGTGCCTCGCACATTCCGACATGTGATCACTTGGGGACCATAATCCACTTTTTTGCGCCATCTGTAGTGCTTTAGGACCAAACTACGATTTTTTAAACTGGTACCTCGTGTTCAAATGCACGCCCGCCCACTGTGGGCGAGCCTCAGCACGCCACAAACATGGTGGACTCTTGCCAGATGTTCATCTTCGTCATGGACTTTTCTGCGATCTCTGATCTATTTCGGGAACCGAGTTACCGACCTTTGTGGGAAGCACCGCCCATTTCGGGTGTGTCTCCTCCATTTCCTCTGCCAACCCAGTGCTAACCTTTCCACTTTTTCCCGTCTCCGAGGTGCTTTGTAGCCAAATTATGGCTTTTTCAGTGACACGGGAAGCGCCGCCCATCTCAAGTACGCCCCGCCCATTTCGGGTGTGTCTCCTCTGTTTGGTCGGTCAGCCCTTTGTTAACTTTACTGCACTGTTCCTCATCTCGGGACTGCTCTGGAACCGAGTTATGACTTTTTTCAGTGACATCGCTAACTTTCGACGCACGCCCCGCCCACTGTGGGCGGGGCTTACCATGGGTCATGGGTGCTATTTAGGTTTTGTCCCATGCTCTACCATCCCCACCATGACCCAATCCAAGTTCTTCTTTAATGCTATGAATATCGTGACTGGGGGAGGGGGGGGGGGGGGTAAAAAAAGTCACTTCGACCGAGTCACATATCAGCAAAGTTTTCGCTGCCCAGACAGAGGACGTGGATACGAGTACCAGGGCGGAAGATACCCAAGATGTTCCTCGATAAGCAGGAGCTGGCCTCGCCATCACCTTCATGTACACCAAAATATGAAGTCATCTCCAGTCGCAGCCTGACTGGAGAAGACCTTTGGAATTCATGTCACCTCCAAACAGCTGCGAAACTTCTAGTATGGAGTCACCCATGGATAGCTACCTGGAGATCGGCGGCTCTTGATCTGGAAGACCTCCAACATCGAGCAGCTCGCGCGAAACGTCGCCACGGTCTAGGACACCATCTTACCGCAGTCGTCTCAAGGCGCGGTCTGCGATGGTATAAGACGCGATACGCTGGAATGGAAAGACGCATATATTCTTCCTTCGTGACCCCGGACTTGAAGGTGGTGCTGGCGGTTACATTGGCAACTTCGTGAAGATATCCTCCTCGCATTACTACGTCGCGCCGTACCTTCTTGGAAACTTTGTACTGCTACAGCATTGGGTGCCACCACATGGAATCAAAGGGCGTTGGGAAAACTCTTGCCTACTCGGACAATGGAAGGGCG